CCATGGGAAATGGGCTCCCAAAGTCCATTTGTGCACTTGCAATACATCCTGGTTCCATTTCCAGAGGTCCCATACACTACTCATGGCTCCTAACTGATACCCACGTTCAGGGGGCCTGGTTTGGTCATATGTTGGTTTCTCACCTGTCAGACTGGGGTTCATGAATTGACACTTGCTCAGGTTAGCTGTTTCTGTGGGTTTTCCCATCGTGATCTTGACCCCTGTTTTTGACACTCCTCTATCTCTGAAACTGGATTCCAGGGGTTTTCTTCAGTACTTGGCTGTGGATATCTTTGGTTGAGAGGCATCTATGTTGCTTCTGGGTTCTGGCTTCAATGGACATATCTGAGATTTTTTATGGTAATTTTGATACAGTGTTTGACAAAGAATCATTGTACAGGGGGAATGTAAAATTAGGAAATAAAGTTAATATGTGATAGGGTTTGTGATTTATAACTTTTTATGACCTTCTCTTGTATGTTTATGCTATATATACTGATTTTGATGTGTTTTTTTTCTTCTTTTGTATCAACAAGATCATTGCAAGACATAGGCAGTAAACAGTTTGTGAACTGGGTGACTCATGGTACCCTACACAACGAAATAAAGTTAACCTTTCCACCCAGGACAAAGTGTGGGATAGGCCTCCTAACTGTTACCTGTAGAAAACTATTTTTCTCATTGGGTTTCTTACCTAGAGAATATATAATTTTACACTTGTAGCACTCCATGCCATTGACATTAAAAATACTGACATTGGAATGTTCATAATATGTCTGAGTACCTAGTTGTTAAACAACATTTTTCCCTCTAGGAATCTTAATTTTTCTGTCCATGTCTATTGAAGAGCTACAGAAAAAAAATCCCAAACTTTCACAAATCATCAAATTGATTACTGCCCTTTTCCCAAGCAAGTCCCTTAAACTGTTAGTGATCCTTGCAAATTGCTACATATTACTCTGAGAATCATAGCATGCCTAAATATTTAGACTTGGCTATGTTCTTGGGACAACCAATTAATGTCTATCACAGTGTAGAAGATGTAAATTATCCAGACAGTTTGGAAATCGGTAGGAAAAGTGCTTTGGTTCTCAACCAATAATCATATGAAAACATTAGCATGTCAAAAAAGTATTATCAGTAGAGCGTAAATAAGGCCTTACATGTTGAATCTATGCCTAAGTAACAGCTCTTTTTGTATATGCTACATTTTTTATAAATATTCACATTTTGTTATGAGAGAATAGATATGCCCAGCAGTGAATAGTGTTCCAGGTAACATTTTATATGGTGTTTGTGATGCTAGAGATGTAGGAAATTATTCAATCCATGCTATTTATCCAGAAGACCATGTTTTATAACACCTATGGGTGTTCCAAACCACAGGTAGTGCAGGAACACATACACATGCCACAATTGTTTCAATGTAAATATACACTCCTAATAGAAGGATATAAACTAGTAACTAGTAACAAAATCCAACAATGCTAGTTACCAATAATTTATCTGTGACATTTGCATGTGTCTTCACTTTTTATTTACCAAAATGTTTCCACAGGTGAATGTTATTATTCACGGTAGAGCTGTGAGATTATCTGGTCATGGTGCACTGTATTCTACTCTCTGACTTTGATTTAGGTTTAGATTGGAGGCCAGGTGTCACCTCTAGAAGATCGAGCTACAAAAATACACCCCACAATAACTTTCTTCATTGGGCTTGGGATGTTCTAACCAAATATTCAGGTTTCCAAACATAAGTATAGGGAGAATATTGTATTTTCAAACTGTGTTAATGAAAAAAAAAGAGTCTTGTGCAAGGCGGTAGGCTTGTGTCTAACTGCAGTCTTCTACATGTCTGCAACCAGTTATGCCAGCACCATTTGTTGAAGATGTTCTCTTTGTTTCATTGTATAAATTTGGATTGTTTGCCAAAAATCAGGTGTTCATAGGTGTGTGGGTTAATATCAGGGTTTTTAATTCTATTCCATTGGTCTACCAGTCTATTTTTGTGCCAATACCAAGCTGTTTTCAGGACTATAGCTCTGTAATAAAGCTTGAAGTCAGGGATGGTGATGCCTCCAGAAGTTCCTTTATTGCATAGGGATGTTTTGGCTATCCTAGGTCTTTTGTTTCTCCATATAAAGTTGAGAATTGTTTTTTCAAGGTCTGTGAAGAATTGTGTTGGGATTTTGATGGGGATTGCATTGAATCTGTAGATTGCTTTTGGCAAGATTGCCATTTTTACTATGTTGATCCTACCTATCCAAGAGCATGGGGGATCGTTACATTTCCTGGTATCTTCTTTAATTTCTTTCTTTAGAGACTCAAAATTCTTATGGTACAGGTCTTTCACACTTTTGGTTAGTGTTACCCCAGAGTATTTTATGTGTGTTACCCCAAGGTATTTTATGTTGTTTGTGGCAATTGTAAAGGGTGATGTTTCTCTGATTTCTTCTCCACCAATGTGTCATCGGTATATAGTAGGGCTATGGATTTTTTTGAGTTAATCTTGTATACTTCACTTTGCTGAAGGTGTTTATCAGCTGTAGGAGTTCCCTGGTAGAATTTTTTGGGTCACTAATGTAGACTATCATATCATCTGCAAATAGTGA